AGATATAGAAGGCGAGAAATCGCCCTCTGGGGAGGGGGCCGCGCCGCAATACCTTCTCCTCCATTCTCCTCTCGAGATCGTGGGCACACACGCACATGCACCCGGTGTGAGTTTAAGCCACCAAGTCCAGGACTCGAACCGCGGTCAACTACGTGGGAGTCCAGCGACATAGCCATTACGCTAACTGCTGGTCCCAAGGATCAGGTTCCCTTAAAAACCAGGCCCCAGGCCAGCCCTGCTTTGCTTTTGAACATGCGAAGCAGAGTTTAAACATCATAATAAGGAATAGTGACTCTGATTGATTTGTCCAACTTGCTTAATCTGATGTTCACAAGCTGATTTACTGGCCATCTTCCTTTGTCATCATTCTTTCATTATCATAAGTCATGAGTTGCAATTAATTATAAAGATTCTTGGGACCAGCAGGTGGCGTGGTGGTTAAAGGCGAAACTCCAACATGGCCAAACATAGTTCAAGTCATTGCCCTGGTGGCTTGCATTCTCACTTTCCCCCTCTCTCTGTCTCTCTCTGGTCAAATTAAAGTAATAATAATAATAACAATAACAACAAAAACAACAATAAATTAAAAATTATTTTATTTAAAGATTTGGGGCTAGCAGGTGGTATGGTGGTTAAGGGGTACTGGATTCCCATATGACTGACCATGGTTCAAGTCCCGGGCCTGGCGACTTTCTCTCCCTCTCTCTCTCACGGTCCCTCTCTGGTCAAATATAAATAAAATGGATGAAGTCAAGTAAAATAATTTTAAAAAGAGGAAAAAAAAGGAAAAAATTACAAAGATTCTTTGAAAGAGATTGTAACATGTGTGTTATTGATAAGACAAAATAACACAGATTTTGCTCTCAATTTTTTTTTTTTTTGAGAGGTTTTCGCTATAGGGCGCGTACGCTCGCCAGCCAGCCAGAGAGAGACAGAGACACAGAAAGCGAGAAATCACCCCCCCAGGGGGAATGGCCACGCCACAATCCCTTCTCCTCCGTTCTCCTCTCGGGATCTTGGGCACGCATGCACACGCGCCCAGCGTGAGTTTTAAGCCACTGGGTCTGGGACGTGAACCGCGGTCAACTATGTGGGAGTCCAGCGACATAGCCATTACACTAACTGCTGGTCCCTGCTCTCAAATTGTTTTGTCATCAGTTAGGCAATACAACGAAAAAGTAAAAATACCATAGCCAAATAAGTAAAAGAGACAGTAACTGTCATAAAAATTTGAAGGAAAAGTTGCAGTGTACCATAGCGAATAGGGAACTTTGCTAACCAAAGATGAGTTCAAGTTAAATTATTTTAGTATGCAGTGGTGTATTAAGAGCAAACACTTTTTCTTTTTTTGCCAGAGCGACAGAGATAGAGAAAGGGAGAGGAGAAAGTACACTCCATGGGGAATGTCATGCCACAATCCCTTCTCCTCCATCTCTCCCTCCTTGCAAGGTTTTGGGCACACATGCCCAGCTTGTTTTTCAAACTAATTCTTAAACCACATACCATAGATCTGGCTGCCTTTACCACCAGGCCATGGAACTGGCCCAAGGCAAACACTTTTTTTTTTTTGGAGAGGTTTTTGCGATAGGCCGCGTGCGCTCACCAGACAGAGAGACAGAAAGCAAGAAATCACCCCCCAGGGAGATGGCCATGCTGCAATCCCTTCTCCTCCGTTCTCTCGGGATCTTGGGCACGCACACACACGCGCCCAGCGTGAGTTTTAAGCCACCGGGTCCGGGATGCGAACCACGGTTGACTACATGGGAGTTCAGCGACATAGCCATTACGCTAGCTGCTGGTCCCAAGGCAAACACTTTTTTATCATTGCTGTTGAAGCCTTTTCCTGAACAATTTATATTGCTAGGACAAAAAAAAAAAAAAAACACTGAATTAGAAGTCAAGAAATTCGGATTTTTTAGCGTTTCACTCTTCTGGTTGAACTGCTGTGTGCTTGCAATGCTGCGTGGAAGCCGAATCCGCACTTCCCTCATGGCCTCTCTGGCCAGCTGGGCACGGCCGATGAAAGCTGCCCCCAGGCCAGCAGCTCGGAGGCCTGTAGTGGACTCACCACCTGCAGTCTCCTCTCCTGCTGCTGCACCGCAGCAGCCAGGTCTGATGGCCCAGATGACAACCCATGCAGCTGGCGTGGCTGTGGGCTCTGCTGTGGGACACACACTGGGGCCTGCCATCCCTGGGGGCTTCAGTGGAGGAGGTAATGCTGAGCCCTC